CCACGGGCTCCGTTGAGGAACCAATGCGAAATCTAGGTTAGACTATAAAAAATTAAATAAAATAGTTATTATCAAAAGGGTATAAAAGGGATAAAAGTGCCGTTCTACAAATACAAAATAATATTGATACATATACGGATACAACCAGCTGGCTCATATTTACATGAAAGCCAACTACAACGTACGCTTAAAACAAAAGTAAACTTAATCTGGTAATATAGTTTCCAAAGGTTCGGTTTATAATTTTAAATTAGCCTTGAATTTTTCACTTTGGGGTTTACACGGGTGTTAACAACAAATTAAAACTGCAGTCTTTATTTTATTTTAGTTTATCTTCATCTAATCAATCAATGTTTATCAATAGTCGATTTAAGGTACAAGAAATACTTCACAGTTCAATCATTATGGTTTAGTTTTAGTTCGCTTGTTGTTTTTAGTTGTACTTGTTGGTTTGACATTCACAAAACGTAAATCAACTTTAAATAACACCAAAGGCGGCACCTGGCTACGTTTTGCATTAATTAAAACAACTTGGAATGCAAAAGGTTTTAAAACACATTTTATTTACACTTTGGTTTAGAATTTTCAAACTTGTATGAATTCTTTAAAGCACGCTTAAGTATTTATAAAAAATATGTGATAGATAGTTAGTTTCCTTAAAACCACACAAAGTCCCCCTTCCCAATAAAATGGGCCAAAATACAACGAAGAATGCATGAAGAAATTTTTGAAAATGTTTTGATCAATAGGATAAGAGCAGTTGGCTTGTATAACTTCTCGGATTGCTGTCCAGCAGTGACTTAATTTGATTAAATCCAATTAAGTCTAATTTGATTAAATCCAATTAAGTCTAGTAGAAATAATAAAAACAATATTGATAAAAATTCCATTTTTGGGAACGCCACTTTGGTATCACAGTTTAAATTATCACAGACTTCGGTAAAAGCAGAGCAGAATTTTTCCACTTGTCAACAACACACATCTCCAAAAACCCGCCCTTCCACCTGCCTAAGCCATCGAGTGCCGCCAATCTGGTTATTAATTGCTAAATTTTCGACTAAACTGTTTGTAGGGCTAAGTTCCGAGTCAAGGTCAACTTGATTGTTGGCTAACAGGTGTAAGATTAGAATTAAAAGTTGTTTCTTACGTTTCTCTAAATCATTTGGTGCTTTAGCTGCTGCTGCTGAAGATGGGGCAACTTGAGGTAGAGATGTTGGTGCCGCTGCCTTCGATTCTGGTGACTTGCTGGGAATTCCGCTGCGCAGATCCACGTCCATGAAGACTGGGGATCGGCTGCGCGATCTCCCCGAAGATGACTTTCCTCGCGAGGAAGATGAAGAGGATTTGTGAGAAGCACTGCGCTTTGACTTGGAGGGCGAGCTACTCGGCGAGCTGCTCTTTCGTTTCGAGGATCCAGTGGGCGAGCCATTCCGCGCGTAGCGATCCGACGGCTCCTTGGATGAATGCTTGCCGGACCGCTTCACCGGGGACTGGTTGGAGCTGCCGCTGCTGTTGCCGACCTTGTGTCGCACATCAGAACCCGACGAGGATGAGGAGGCAGTGGAGCTCTTGGACTCGCTACGCTTGCGGTTCGACGAACTGCTGTGATGAGAGTTTCCATTCTTTCCTGAGCGACTGCTGCTGTTGCGCACAGGCGATTTACTGCGCGAACGACTAGATTTCTGTGAGGAGCTTGACTTGGCATCCAGGCGAGGATCAGTGCGTGTAGGAACTGCCGAATGCGAGGACTGTGACTGCATTTGACGAGCTAATCGTGGGTCTCTTTGGCGCACTGAGTTGAGCAGCGCCGGATTGACAGGATTAACTTTTGGTTTGTTGGCAAACTGCTGCAAGATAGATATAATAGATTATATTCTGTATCAGTTTTATCTTCCACTTTCTAATTTACCTGTTGAGCTACTGGCATATTGGGCATTATGGGAGCAGCATTGCCCATCGCTCCCGGAGCTCGTTGATTGCGCATCGCCAGCACGGGATCCATCATAGGCGGACGAATGCCGGTTGCAGTCGGGGCAGGCATGATCATGGGAGCCCCAGCCATCGCGTCAGTGGCTTGGTTTAGCTGACGCTCCTGCTCCTCTAAATGCTTTTTGGTCTGTTCCAGCTCAAGTTCGAGTTTGCGCTTCTTAAGCTCCAGCAGTTCGCGAGTTTTGGCCTGGAGTATCTCCTCCATGTCGCTGGGCAGTGTGGGGTTAACAGGCATTACAGGAACCATGCCCTGCACGAAGCATTTGTTAGTCTATCTGTACATTTTGAAAAACTCTAAATTTCACTTACGGTTTTGAGAAAGTCCGGGTTCACATGAATGGCCGGATTGACATGGATTTTGTTGGTTGGCTGTTTGGCGGTAATTGGCCAGTTGTTATCTAGGCGCTTCACCTTCACATCCAGGGCGTACATCTTGGAGGGTGGAAAGACCTCGTTCCAGGTCTGTCGCAGGGCATACATGCGCTCCCGCACCTTCTCCAAAACTTGTGACTGCGAGTGCTGAACCTGTGGGATCAAAATTAAAATAATTAGGCTTCATGTCTAAGTATGTGAAAGGTAATAGGGACTTACCGATTCAAAGGCGTGCAGAAATATGTTGACTATGCATTGTCCAAACAACTGGACGTAGCTGCTTTTCACATTCTTTACTATCGAATCAATTAAATATAGTATGGGCAATTTAAATTCGGGCGCCACCTGTTTGAAGTTTGGTAAAATAGGTAAGAAATAAAGAACAATAAGTGTCTACGAAACGCAGCTAGCAGAGATTCAAACTGATAGAAAGGGGCAGAGAACTAAGGGGACTGAACTGATTCAGACAGACCACACAACACCAGGGTCAGCGATCATCCATCGACGTCATTCTCCTCAGCGGGTGCTGGTTCTTGACATCTCCAAGGCAAGGTCAACGAACTCAAGCGAATGTCTAACTCACAGAGAAATATTTTGGGTCCTAGCAGAGGAAACTACGTTTGTATATCCTACGGTGTCCAAACATTCAATGAATTTTACTGGTTACATATGATAGGTTATGAAGTTAGCAGGTTTGTTCCCTTTTCCGAGCGAAATGCGAATGGAAATCCAACCATGAAAACGTGGCAAAAAAAAAATGTTTTTAATGTTAGCTACTAGTACTTAGGGCTTTAAATTTCAGTTTAGCTGCATGTTTACTTTTACCAAAACTTGTTTTTCTCTTTTGGTAATACAAAAATTGCTGCACATCAATGTTATGATTGATTGTAAGCAGTCAATGTTTTTGTATAAAATAAAAGACAACTTGGTGACAATTGTTTAAGTATTTTCTCTTTTTATTGCATTTTTCAGTTTTCTTTTTGTTTGTTTATTCTTTAGCTTTAAACTCTGGGATCCAAAGTAGAAAGAAATAAGAAACGAGGAGCAAGTTAAACTCTTACCTTTGTTGAGGATTAAAATCAGTCACGTCTTAAAACCCAAATTATTTGATAAATATTAAGATAAAAAACCTATCTTTGCAGAGAAAACCAACGAAGACTGAAAAAAGCAATTGAATTATAATATGTATGAGGTCTTTGTTGGTTTTCTCTGCAAATAAACGGCAAACGTAAAAAATAAACTGCACATTCTAATCACAATTTCGACATCGAGAATCACTGTCGACCTTCTGTTCGCTGTGTGTGTGCTGGAGTGTCTTGGATTTTAAGTAAATACGCTTTTGTTTTGTTAACCTGGCTGATGTAATATTCCACCACTTTGACGATGATTTGGGCGTAGTTGATGTTCTCCTCGGCGAGCATGGTGAGCATATTGATGAGCGGCTTGCTGTTGCAGTTGAGGTCCTGAAGGCTGGACAGGTACTCCTCGCCGATCCTCCGCTCATCGTCGCGGTAGCTCTGAAATAGCTGATCCATTCTGGACTCTACTTCTTGATCAGTAGTTAATCAATTTTTTGGTTTAAAGAAATCGCAGTTGCTAGGTTTTTTGCTGGAAATGAAAATAAAACAAGGCAATTAAGTGACTTGTCAAGCTAAAGTAACTATGCTACAATGTGGTGACACATGAAACACATGTATAAACCGTTTAGTGGCAGACACTTGTTTTCCATTACTTTTCTTTAATTAATGCACACTGCATAAACACAGCATCTATGTATGTATTTTTGTGTTATCAAAACGATAATTCAAATGTGGGAAACTAATTGCGCTCTTTAAATAATAGAATAATACTACAAGGCTGGATAAACCTCGATAGCTGTCTATATAGCCTATACCAGACGTAAACAATCACGCGCGTCCACAAACAACAAGCCACATTATACACACACACATACAGGGATGCCTTGAAAATTCAATATGGCGACCATGAGGCACATATTTTCGCATATTGTTCCCTGCTTCAGAATAAGCAATAAATTTGATGTTTTCGCTTTCTTTTTCACCTTTTGGAGACACACATTGGAACTTCTTATGTTTTTAGTGTCACTTTCCAGTTCTTTGCCCTTTTTAAACATATTTTCCCCAGACAAAGCCACGTTTATGATACCAACACATGCACACGCGTTTTTTTCACAATTATTTTAAAGTACTTTTTTTAGCCACAAGAACCATCAAAAACATACCTTTTTATGCTAATACATTTGTACAATCACTGCCAGGCACTTTAGCGAAGAAAAATTTCAGAAAAGCACTGTCAATATATAAAAACTAGCGTTTCAAAACTTTCACGTAACAACTGCGATGTATTCTTGATGAGTTACTTTACTAAGTGTGACCGTAGGGCGGAAACTAAAAAACACCTGATAAAAATAGACCCCTAACCTTATTTCAGAAGTAGGGAAACTTGGCAAAGTTGTCGGGGACTCAAACCAATCGCAGGAATTCTGATACATTTTATTAGAAAAAAGATGAGTATGTTCTTATCTTTATGGTAGACCTGTGCTGGTTATCCTGACCAGTCCCCAGGACTACAAAGCAAAGGAATCATTTAAAGATCTCTCGCCCCAAAACGCAAATATATACACAATCCGAAAAAGGGATTTTTATTTTCCTAGAGTTCCATCTGGAACCGTAAATTACATTGTATTATTATTGTATTGCTCTTTCGGGTCATTTTGCGACCTGCTGAGTTTAGGAGCCCACGATGATGTTGTTGATGGGGATATGTATCAGCTTCACGAAGAATCCGATAAAGCCCATGATGCAGAAGCCCACGGCGGTGGCGATGGCGATTTTCTGGAACTCCTTGCGGTCAGGCTTGGTGCAGCGCTTCACCAGACGAATCGAGTCCTTGGCGAAGACACGTCCAGGCTCGGCAAACTTAACAACCTTGTCCATTATGAAATAAAGATCTTTTAACTGAAAATTTCCACTTTAATGAACTGATTTGCTGCCGTGTCGTTTCTTGCAGTGTTACCAGATGACAGAATCTAAAAACATCTAAAAAGTTCGTGAATCCCAGAATACCTCCCTAATTATTTAATTTTTATTTAATTAAATATTTTCCTACATTTTTCATAAACTTTTTCGTCTTGTTACTTTTATTAATTAATTATTTTTTGCTAGCAAACTTTAATTTTCCAATTTTGTAAATTTGTTTTTATTATTTTATCTCTAAGAGACGGTCACATCAAAACACCAGCAGAATTCGCAATAAATATGTGATATCTTTTGCCAAAACAAAAATGGAGGAATCACCTTACCTGCACAGCCCCTACCAGGTGTCCATTATCGCCACCGACCTGCACCATGAGGACACCATAATCCAAGCAGCCCAGTCCCTGGACTGTCTCCACAAAACAATAAACTCGATTTTCGAGCGAATCGATGCCCGCTTGGCGAGAAATGGTTCAAAGGTTGAGGACATAAACAATCGTGTGAAGCGCGCCCAGGCGAAAATCAATGCGCTCGTTGGCTCCAAGCGGGCCATCCAGATCTTTGCACCCGCTCGCTTTCCAGCCAGCGACGTCCTGGCTCCACTGCCGGCCACCTTTCCACAGGTGGCTAAACCGCTGATGGAGGAGCAGGTGGAGCTAGAGCACCAGCCACGCCGGCGATACAGCAGCCACAGTCCCTCGGACCAGAAGCAGGAGGATGCGGATGTTTTCTTCCATGTACGTGGCGACCGGGAGCATGAGTCACCTCTGGTCGCCGAGCGGAAGATAACTAATCGCACCGCAGGCCTGGGAGCCCTTCCTTTGGCCGGAATACGTTCCGTGCCCTCGCTAATGCGATTTAATACCAATGAGTTTGCCTACGGCGAGGATCTAAATGCCTGGAAGCGTTCCTTGCCGCCGCAGAGTGCACGTCGCGTGGCCAGTCAGTCTGCGAGACCCACGGCGGATAAACTGTTGGCTCCGGCGCCCCACTCGCTGGCCCATGGAACCACAAAACTGGCTACGCCAGCCGGAGACTTGCGTTATAATCCTGCTGCCTTGGCTGCACCCGCCATCGATGTGCCGCTGGATCTGCCCGATCTTCCTGGAATAGCCAACGATCTGCAGTATGAGCCCGTGGAGGAGCAGACACCGATAGCACCTTCCCAGCAGTTTGGTGATCTGCCGGAGCTACCAGATCTGGGCCTGGAGGAGCAGGAGATCACGGTGCAAGCAATTGCGGCACAGACGCACATTCCAGGACCTGCTCGGAAGACGGGTCTCGGACAGTGTCCATCGCCGGTTACGGCGCCCCCACCGCCTCCTCCACCTCCACCGCCGCCACCACCTCCACCACCAGAGCAGGTCAAGAAAATTCCATTGCCGCCACCATTTCCCACCAAGGGAGCCGTGAAACCGCTCTCCCCATCACCTTCAACGCCTCTCAACATGCCGAAACCGCCTCCTCCCACTGAAGATCCGAGATCTGAGCTCATGGAAGCCATACGAAATGCCGGAGGAGTACACGGCGGACGACTCCGATCGCCTGCGGCCGCTCCGCTCGATGTGGTGGATAACACACGTTCCAAGGCGGGCGCCGCTGCTACGGGGGATCTGATGGCGGATCTGCACAACAAGTTGATGCTTCGTCGCAAGGGAATCTCTGGGAGCCAGAATCCTGGGGAGGCAACCGCTGGCAATCCCCTGATGCAGCAACTCTCTCGTGTGATTCCGCCGCCGGTCCAGCCGCGCAAGGGTTCTCAATCCAGTGAAGAAGCGCGCTCCGAGGAGGACGAAGACGTGTGGAACTAAAGGTTGCAGTGGAAATCGAAATCCTTATCATTTATGTAGCTTTAGCACCGGTTAAAGTGCCTTGGCTGGCTTTAAGCACTAGCTTCTCTAGCTTAAATTATACCAATCTCTAGAATGAATTCCAAATTCTGTGCCCAAGCGAGCATGCCAAATTAGTTAAAAGTCAACCAGTTGAATAAAAATAACAACTGAAAAAATGTTTAAATTGTTCACTTCAAATTAAAGGAATACCTCTGTTAAATGTCAATAACAGCACTGTTGTCTTGCTTACTTTCAGTGCTGTAAAATATCCACAGAGGAAACACATTTCGGATAAGAATTGTAGTTGAAATAACTACAAAATTTATTTAAATAATACAGTTAAAGGAGTATACTGAATTAAACACAAACTTTTGAATAAGGACTACCTGGAAACTGCAGGCGTTGCATTTAAAGGATTTCCTAGATTCTCAATTTTTCCGTATAATGACCGCTTCATCACGGGATATTAACGATCTTTTTGACGATATTGTCCTGACCGAGGAGAAAGAAGCTCGTCTGGGCTACGAGGAGGGTCTGAAAGACGGTCAGGAGCAGGGCAACGAAGAGGGCTACAAATTGGGCTACGCCCAGGGAGTTTCCCTAGGCGAGGAGCTGGGCAGGATTCTCGGCCAGGTGGTGGCCCAGCAGCAGCTGAAGCATACGGAAAAGGTGCGTCGCAGTCTGGAGCAGCTGCGCTCACTCATCGAGGAGTTTCCCCGCACCAACGATCCGCAGGCAGACATAGTAGGAGCCGTGCAGAACATCCGAACCTCCCATCGTCGTCTCCGTGCCCTATTGGGATCCAAGAAAACCACAGAGGCCACATCTCCTGTATCACCTGCTTCCGAACGCAAAGATTACAGTTTTTAGCATCATGTCCAAAGTGGGGGTGGCCCAATTACAGAAGCGCCTCGATGGTCTGCTGACATTGCTCAATCCCCATTGGGATTTTGTCAATTGCCACATGGTGAACTATTTGACGGATCAACACTGGGATGTCTTTCTGCCTGAGGCTTTGAGAAAGGAAGTCTCTTGCAAAGAGGATGTGAATCTGGCTATAGAAGGCTTATTTTGGCAAGGTGATAAAGCAGGAGGAAGATTCCCAGAATGGCTGTGTTTTTTGGAAAAGGGCCAGCAAGAACGCCTGGCGCTTCATCCGGAATTGTTGACCAGCGTGGAGGAACTGTTTGAGTGGCAGGAGAATGCCGCACAGCTAAGCATCCGGGAGTTTATGAGCGCCAAAAAATGCCATGAGGTAGGTAGACACTATGTTTAGATTAGGAAACACCAGGACTTTGTTCATTTTCCCCATTAGGTGGAGTCAACAGCTGCTCTAGTAGACCATCTCCTGAAGAACTACGGGCAAGACTGCTACATTGTGGATGCAGGCGATGGCAAGGGCTATCTCTCCTCCCGCCTGGCGCTCCAGTATGGCCACCGCGTGCTCGGCATCGATGCCAATGCGGAAAACACACAGAACGCCTTGAGTCGCAATCGAAAACTACAGGTACGCTAGGATTACAAAATAAAACTAGCTTTATTTCATTACTTTTGTAGACTTATAAGTTAGCTCCTTCTCCTCTAAAGAGGAGCACCTTGTGGCTAATCGCGCATCTCGCCTTCCTCGTCGTCGTCCTCCATGCCCTTGATGTACAGAACATTGTTGCAGCGGATGAGCACCTCGCCGAGATTGCCGGTGACGGAGCCCTCTATCACCTCCTCCGTGTTGGCCAGCTGCATGTTCATGTACCCGTCGACGGACACCAGGAACCCCTTGTACTCCTGGCCCCACTTGAGTTTCACCAGCACCGGTTTTCCCGTCAGGCCGTTCAGGAAGGGCTTGGGGTTGATGGGCATGCCAGCCGACATGATGTTTGTTTGATTTTTCCGCGGTTTTTAAAGAAAAATAAAACAAGCGTGCCGAAAATCGCCGGGTTTTCGCGTTTTCTATGACAGTGTGACCGCAGCAAGACTGTAAAAATATAACTTGGCATAAAAACAACTTTCAGAGAGGAGTGTTGGAAAACAATACATAGACCGCATTATTCAATTTAAAAATTTGTATTCAATATTTAATTTCAGCGCGCTTGGAACGGACTCACAGAACGGGCGGAGCTGCAGAGCCAAGGAATCACCCCTAAGAGGCGGGGCAAAAAGTCACCCACTAGGGATACCACAAAGAGTGCGCCTGCTTTGGAAAACTACAAAACAACGGCCAGATTTATAACCACCGAACTCAACTTTGGCGCCTTGCTGGCGGATCATTTTTATCAGCTCCCACAATCAGACAATCCCAATATTTGCCTCACTGGATTGCACACCTGTGGCAATTTAGCCGCCACCTGCTTGCAGGTTTTCCATGCCCAGAAAGACTGCCGGTTGCTGTGTAACATTGGCTGTTGCTATCACTTGCTAAAGGAGCAATACTCGCAGCAAGAATTCTTTGGGAACAAGGCCCTGATGGACATGCAAACGGACCACGGGTTTCCACTAAGTCAGTATCTTCAGGAGCGACAAGTTCGAATGGGTCGCAATGCCCGAATGCTGGCGGCACAGTCAATCGAGCGCACACTGGATGCCAAGGAGCTGCCTAATGTATCGCTCTACTATCGTGCTCTTTTAGAGATACTGGTTTGCCGTCATGCTCCGCAATTGAAGAACGAATTGCAGGTGGGCAGGTTGCGCAAATTTGAGAGCTTCCATGAATACATTCAAAAATGTGCCACAAAATTGGATGCTCCTTGGTTGGCAGCCATCAAAGAGGACGAACTCCAATCCCTTCTGCAAGAATACGCTTTGGACAAGTATTATTTGGATTTATTCTATCTGCTACGTATGTCCTTTGCTCCGGTGCTGGAGAGTTTGATACTTCTTGATCGCCTGCTCTATCTGAAGGAACTGGGCTATGAACGCAGCTATCTTATAGATTTGTTCGATCCCGTCATATCGCCCAGGCATTTTGCAATTGTTTCTATTAAGCCGTTGACGTAACGATTTTGACTTTGCATAATGCCTCAAAGTTTGACAGGCGAAGCCGGTTCTGCGTAATCGTTAATTAATGATAAGCATGCAATACCTTTTGAGCAGTTTAAATACTAGATACAGATGTAAATCCTAAGTAAAACGCAAATGTAAATCTACAAATGTAAAAACAAAACATAAATATAAATGACGTTTTCTAAAAATAGATTCATTATTTTCAGTAATTTTTTTAAAAACCCAATATGCCTTTTTGTTAATTTGATTTCAATTAAATATAAAAACAATTATGACTTGTTTTTAAAGCAGATCTGGTTTGTGTTGCCTTAGGTCAACGTTTCATACTATTTGTTTGTTTTTTATAATTAAAGGCCCGCTATTCACCACATAGGTGAATATATATTTGCACTTGAAATCGCTATCTATCAACTTTTGAGCTGTATAAATATGCGAATAAAATTTTAAACCGCTTCAAGTGCGGTGTTAAGAGCTGTAATTGTCGGTCGTGTGCTCGGGAGCTCAGACTTTATAGATCAACAAAACGTTTCCTTGAACTTGCTGGAAAAACTAGTTGCCTATAAGGCCAGTGAAAAACAAGGTGTGCAAAAGTTAATCTAAATAAGTGTTTCAAAAATTAAGGCAATATTTTTTAAACATAATAAATGCAGTTTAGCTGACATGTCCTGGTTGTTATTTTACAATACCTATTTGAAAGCAAAATTAAATGCTACGGTGCCAAATCATCGATTATTAAAAACTTTCCAATGTAATAAAATATTCAAAAGGTCCTTTAAAAATATTTCATTTTGTTTTCAAGATAATTATTTTTTTCAATTCAAATTTTTCCCGATTGTTAGTCTTTTTATCAGTTTGGTAGAATTTTGGACAGCTTTTCTCGTTAAAATTTAAATAATAAGGTGTGGTAACAATTGTTAAGACGCATTGTTTTCAATTAAATCAAATGCTGGGTAAACAAAAACAACAAAATACTTAAGAGGGTACTTAGCAAACGCATGACCTTTTGGGAGTAATTAAGATAAGATAACAAAAGGTGCTAGCTTACACCCGAGACATTTGACTAATAAATAAATTGACTGATTACAGAGTGAAAGATCCCATAATATCGTTATCTCTAAAATGGTCCTGACAGAAGCCCTTTTTGTGGTGGTGGCTGCCCTGGTGGCGCTCTACATGTGGTTCCAGCGAAACCACAGCTATTGGCAGCGGAAGGGGATACCGTATATCCCACCCACTCCGATTATAGGAAACACGAAGGTGGTCTTCAAATTGGAGAACTCCTTTGGCATGCACCTCTCGGAGATATACAATGATCCCCGGGTTAAGGACGAGGCAGTAGTGGGGATATATTCCCTCAACAAACCCGGCTTGATTATCCGCGATATAGAGTTGATCAAATCCGTGCTGATCAAAGACTTCAATCGGTTCCACAACCGTTACGCCCGTTGCGATCCCCACCGCGATCCTTTGGGCTACAACAACCTGTTCTTTGTTAGGGACTCCCATTGGAAGGACATACGCACCAAGCTAACTCCTGTTTTTACCAGCGGAAAGGTCAAGCAGATGTATACCTTGATGCAAGAGGTAATAAAATTAACAAAATGCTTAGATAAAAAAGGTATTAATACTTTTTGTTTCGTGCAGATTGGCAACGACTTGGAGAACGCTCTAAAGAGGCATGGCGAGAAGAGCTCCGGAAAATACACCACCGAGATCAAGGAGATCTGCGCCCAGTTCTCCACGGACAGCATAGCCACCATTGCCTTTGGTATCCGGGCGAACAGTCTGCAGAATCCCAACGGCGAGTTCCGTAACTACGGACGTAAGCTTTTCACCTTCAACATAGGCCGCGCCAAGGACTTCTTTGTGGCCTTCTTCCTGCCCAAGCTGGTGTCCCTAATGCGCATCCAGTTCTTCACACCGGACTTTGCTCACTTCATGAGGAGCACCATTGGCCATGTGATGCAGGAGCGAGAGCGGACTGGCTTCATCCGTAACGATCTGATTGATGTTTTGGTGGGTCTGCGCAAGGAGGCGGCCGCAGAACCTTCGAAACCGCATTATGCCAAGAACCAAGACTTCTTGGTGGCTCAGGCGGGTGTATTCTTTACAGCCGGCTTCGAGACCTCCTCCTCCACGATGTCCTTTGCTCTGTATGAAATGGCCAAACATCCCGAGATGCAACAACGTCTGCGCCGGGAGATCAACGACGCTTTGGTGGAAGGCGGTGGTACATTGTCATACGAGAAGATCCAGTCCTTGGAGTACCTGGCCATGGTGGTGGATGAAGTGCTGCGCATGTATCCGGTTCTGCCGTTCCTAGACCGCGAGTACGAGGGTGTTAAGGGACAGCCAGATCTGAACCTAAAGCCTTTCTACGATTATACGTTTGAGAACGGAACCCCAGTGTTTATACCAGTCTATGCACTGCAGCATGATCCAAAGGTATCCTTTCATTCTAACCGATAAAGTATCATCTGCTTTAACTCCTTTGTAATCCCCAGTACTGGCCTAATCCCAGTCAGTTTGATCCGGAACGCTTCTCGCCCGAGAACCGCAAGTCCATCGTAGCCATGGCATACCAGCCCTTCGGATCCGGTCCCCACAACTGCATCGGCAGCAGGATTGGCCTTCTCCAGAGCAAACTAGGACTAGTCAGCCTGCTGAAGAATCACTCAGTCAGGAATTGCGAGGCTACCATGAAGGAGATGAAGTTCGATCCCAAGGGCTTTGTGCTGCAGGCAGAAGGTGGCATCCACCTGGAGATTGTAAACGATCGTCTCTATGATGAAAGCGCCGCACCGGTCCAATGAGTCAATTGTAAAACGTAGCACACAGAATCAGAATAGTAGTAGTGATTAGCTGATGGGGTAATCGCCCTCTGACAGCTGGCATTTGATAAAGCTGAAATGTACATTATACAACAATCCGTGTCAAATGCGGCGCCCGGCTTACTGAATAAAAACAAAATCATTATCAAATTACATTTGGTCTTTGAACCGGGGGATCTATAAAATTGCGACACCAATAAATAAGTTTAATATAGTTGATTAGGAATTAAATGCAAATGCATTTTCGAAATGTAACAATAACGTATTAAACAGATAAACTGAAAACGACGCTTGATCGTCAGTTAAAATCTGGCAAAACAAAGTGTCTATATATATGTCTAGGCATGTCCATCTATGTATACATATATATATATGATTGATCTTCTAAGCTATAGGCCCTGCATCTCATTGCTCCGGCGATAAAACATGCAATTTGTCAATCAAATTGCCTTCAAGATCCGACACCAGCTCAATTTTAAATCCCAAAACACGCGACATTACGGCTCAGTTATCGTTCGGTGGTTGTAGGCTGCATTGCTCCCAAAAACTCCAAAAATATCCACTGCTTCTCCGCTTCACTCCACATCCAGGTGAGTTAGACCCCCAAAGGATCTCGGACCAATCGGAGGTGGATACCTCCCTTGGATTGGGTAATAATGGCCTTGGGCTCCAGTTGCATGCGATGGGGGGTGCGTTCCGATGTGGTTATTAGGTGGTTGCGCAGGAGATTCACCAGACCCACCTTGGTCTGGATCATTCCGAACCGTTCTCCGATGCATCCATGCGGACCGAGGCCAAAGGGCATGTAGGTGTAGGGCGTGTGGAGCTTTCTATTTTCAGGGGAGAATCGTTCCGGCTGGAACTTTCGGGGTTGGGGGAAATACTAGATAGAAACTTTGTTTTTAGACAGCAAACTTAGTGGGAGAGATGCAACTCACCTGGGGATCCATGTGAAGGGCGTAGCAAGGTATAAAGACGGGCATGCCCTTGGGCACCACGAAGTTGTGGAACGGAGCCAGTGGGTGGTCCCTTCCAGAGGTGCACTCGCGGTCCAAAAACGGCAGCGGTGGATACATTCGCAGCACCTCCAGCAGGACCATCTGCATGTACTCCAGCGACTCTATCATTTTGAGCGTCACCTGTCCACCACTTTCAACCAAAGCACTCCTGACCTCCTCCCTTAGTCGCTGCTGGATATCTGCATCCTTGGCCAACTCGTACATGGCAAACGCCATCGTACTGGAGGAGGACTCGAAACCGGCGGTGAAGAATAACACCGCCTGGGCCACCAGGATGTCGCCTTCGAACACAAACTGATCCTTGATCCCCGAAGCCTTGGCCTGCTGAGTGCTCCTTCGGAACTCGATTAGGATGTCGATCAGATCGTTGCGTTTTTGTCCGGATTTCTCCCTCTCCGCCATTACGTAGTTGATGGTCTTGCGTAGAAAGCGTGTGGCCTCCGCCGGAACCACCTTGAAACCGAAGAAAGGAACTAGATGGGGCAGGAAAAACACCAGTGTGAACTCCGCCGCTCGCAGAAGACTGAACTCGAATACGGATCTTCCATTACGCCGGAACTCTCCATTCGGCTCTGTGAGACTATTTGCCTGTACTCCAAACGCCACGGTGGCTATAACATCCGTGGTGAACAAGGCACACAGCTCCTTGGCTTCCAAATCGAAGCAGCGTATCCGCTCATTGTGCAGCGGTTGCTGGCGAAGATGGGCATCCAAGCTGGCGCCCACCTCCTCGATGAGCGGGAACATGTGCTTCAGTCGATTTCCGGTGAAGAAGGGCGAAAGCTTCAGACGAACCTCCTTCCAGGCGGGATTCTTTAGAAAGAAGATATTTTGTGACCCTAATGGATCACCCTTATGATCGGAGTTCGAATACCGATTGGAGAACCCCGAAAAATCTTTGACCATGATATTCCTGACCAATTCGGGGTCCCTCAAAAGCAAAGCCGGCTTATGGAACACATGAATGCCCACGAAGGGTTCGTTCTCCGCCTCGGGATGGTTATACAGCTGGAATATGAACTCCGCGGGACTCTTCTGCAAGTTGAGCAGTCCCCACAAGTTACCCACTATCCACTTGGGCTTAATCTCACTGATTCCTATTCGCCGCCAGTAGGAGTAATGATTGTGTAGGGCCACATAGGCGGTGACCAGTAGGACTACCAGGAGAATCACCAGTCCCAGTGTCATGTTTACGTTCCAAAAGTAAGTTTTGCACTGTCACAAAATATGTCTGATCAACTGGTCTAAAGCTCTGGAACAGGCGATACACCGTTAAAGGTTCATCAAGATGATCCTGTTTTTTGTGAATGAATCACAATTATGAATGGGCTATATTATGATGCTAAGTGGGTTGTGTTTCCTACATATATGTAAATAACATTTTTTGGAGGCCATTAACGAGGTCATTGGTTTATAAATAGGGAGAGGTTTTTGATTTTTCCATAATATTATTTTTAAGTTTCACGGAAATGTAATAGCTTACATTTGTAATATTCAACTTTATGACTTTAATATGTAATGGTTTAAATTTGTAATCTTAAACTTTATTACTCTTTTCAGGAATCATGTTGCTCCTCTGGCTGGTGCTGCTCACTATACTGACTTTTAAGCTCTGGTTAAAACGCAAGTACGCTTACTTTAGGAACCGTGGGATCCCCTACCTCCCTGCGTCCTCCTGGTCGCCGATGGGCAACCTAAGTCAGCTCCTATTCCTGCGTATTTCTTTTGGAGATCTCTTTCGAAAGCTCTACGCAGATGCACGTTGTGGTCAAGCAAAGGTTGTGGGTTTCTTTGTCTTTCAAACACCCGCTCTGATAGTACGAGATCCAGAGATAATCCGCCAGGTGCTGATCAAGAACTTTAACAGCTTTCTAAACCGGTACGAATCGGCGGATGTGGGAGATCCCATGGGTGCCCTTACCCTGCCACTGGCCAAGTACCATCACTGGAAAGAGAGTCGGCAGTGCATGTCGCAGCTCTTCACCAGCGGTCGAATGCGCGAGGTTCTGTATCCACAGATGTTGGATGTGGCTATCGACCTGGAAAACTACCTCAATAAAAAGTTGCGGAATCGCCCAGACCGGGTTCTTCCGCTGGGCAGAATGTGCCAGTTGTACACCACCGATGTGACGGGAAATCTGTTCTATAGCCTGGATGTGGGCGGATTACGACGAGGGCGATCTCAGCTGCTTCAGAAAACAAAGGAATTATTTAAGACTAATCCTCGCAAGGTTCTGGACTTCATGATCGTGTTCTTCCTGCCGAAGTGGACAAGTCTGCTGACACCTAAGGTTTTCAGTAAGGACTATGCGCAGTATATGAAGGACTTGGTCAAGGAACATCAGGAACCACAGAAAGTTGATCTGATCAATCAACTGCAGCATTTCCAGATCAGTTGCTCCTCTAACCACTACTCCAAACATCCGGACTTTATAGCCTCCCAGGCAGGCATTGTCCTGCTGGCCGGATTTGAAACCTCCTCAGCTCTTATGGGATTTACTCTCTACGAGCTGGCTAAGGCGCCTGATATTCAAATGAGACTGAGAAAGGAGCTATGTGAAGCCTTCGGCTCCTCTTCCACCCTCTCCTATGAGACGCTGATGGCTTTGCCCTACCTCAAAATGGTATGTTCGGAGGCACTGCGTCTCTATCCGGCTGCTGCATTTGTAAATAGGGAGTGTACCAGTCCGGAACCCGAAGGATTCTCTCTGCAGCCGCATGTGGACTTTGTGGTGCCCCCTGGGATGCCAGCCTACATCTCTATACTTGGGCTCCAACGTGATGAAAAGGTAATATTGAGACTGATTCTTCTCCACATTAAAATCTCAATTCCAGTATTGGCCCGACCCCTACCGCTTCGATCCCGAGAGGTTTGCCCCAGAACGGATCAAAGACATTATCCCCATGACCTATATTCCATTTGGAGCTGGTCCTCATGGCTGCATTGGTAATCGTTTGGGTCTGCTTCAGCTAAAACTGGGTATAGCTCACATCTTAAAACTATATTGGGTGGAGGTTTGCGAGCGAACAGTTTCGCAGATTCGTTTCAATCCAAAATCCTTTATGTTGGAGTCGCAGGATGAGATATACCTAAGATTCTGCAGGGATAATTTATAGTATTAAATGTACAAAAATACGTTGGCTGTGACTTAAGACAAGGATAATAGTTGCCTAGCTTCCAAAACACAGAATCTCATTGTTCCTTAAAAAAACTAAAACGGAATGAAAAGTATTAAGGATATTTAATATAATCGTATATGGTTCCTCAGAATCCCATTCAATAAATCACAATATAAAATGAATCTTCTTTTAAAATACACATCAATTTCAGCCAAAGTTAGATGTTTTATTTCCGCACCCCCTTTCAAAAATTGACCATAAGCTGGGTTTTTGGCCACACATAATTCTCTCCAACTTAACTCCCTGAATTAAACTTGCCCAACTTTTCTTCGATGTCTTTGATGCGACAGCGGATTTCCGGGGCCGAATCACGCTGGAACTTTTCCAAATTCGATTCAAAGTTATGCTTGATCAGATTCAACGGCTGCTGGTCCTTCGCTCCACTCAAACGCTTAATCAGCATGAGAACGATGTTTAGAGCCTCCTTTTTCAGGCCCGTGTGAGGAACTCCAGCGGCCAGAGCCACTGCAGCCAGTACATCCGTGCAGATCTTCTCGACGATGGCCTCACGTGTCTGTGGCGCCGGAGCCTCCGTCTTCATCTTCTTTTCCTGATTTATCTGCGGCAGATCGGGCAACTGAGCGGATTCATCGAATACATGGAGCCTTTCAATGTATTTGGTGAGGGCTGCCAGCAGACTGACCTGAACTGGGCGGGTGCTCTCTGCCAGAATGCTGGTGCAGTTCTCGGCGAAGAAAAGCTGGTAGCGATGCTGCGTCTCAATTGAGTGACGTGGCCACGATTTACCCAAGGTCTCCCAGACAACCTCCTTCAGTCGATTGAGTGTTTGAGCCCTCTTGTTGCGCTCATCGGCAGTCAGCTCCTGGCTGGTGCTGGGCTCGTCCTCATCGTCAGACTCCTTGCGCAGTTCTTTCTTCTCCAGCAGGTTCCAGCTCATGTTGTACACTTCTTCAAATCGATCTGCCTCCAATTGATCGAGGATGTCGCCCAAAGAAGCAAGGGCCATAGTACGATAAATTGGTTCCCGTTTCCTTGCCTCCCTCATCGCCGCGTCTATAATGCTGGGACAGACTTGGTGGCTCCGATCCAAGCCTTTTGTGAGCCCGGCAAGTGCTTGCAGCAAGCGCGACTTGCCTTCGAAGGTGCGACCCTGCAGACCGCAAAGCAGCAACTTGATGAGTCGGACTCGGTCGGGCTCATCCAAAGAGCTACTCAGGCGAGTCGCTATCGTCTGAATGACATTCGCTGCCTGCGCCTTACGCGACCAACTTGCATCGGTTAGTGACGTCTCCAATTTGGGTATGATCACATTGAGATTAAGACGGATGCCTGCATCCCCTGGGCTAACATCGTTCCACAAATCTTTCCACAGCTCCACATTAGCCTTTGTCTCTTCATTGGCCTCTTCATGCATGGCAAAGAAGATCAGCGGCAACATACTTTCCATGTAGTCCTTTAGGAGTTCGTGGTGACGCTTGTTAATGGACTGAATAGTCAAAGCAATGGAGCGATTTCCAGGCTGCTCGGCATACAGCTCCTCCAGCTTGGCGAAAAAACTCTTGATCGATTGCTCCTTGGCCAAACCTAACAGGTGCCCAATCGCGCTGGCGTTGTACTTGCGCACGGTGGCATTACGATCCTTAATACCCACAAAGCAGGCTCGAATGTACTTGCCCACCACCGGAGTCATCTCATTGCCCAAACGGATGCTGATCTGTAATATTTTAAATACTGTAAATACATAACAACTTTTCCCATAATTTCAATCAACATACCAGACACACAAAATGAGCGCATCCAATTTTGGTTCCAAGATTCACACTAGACTTCATCAGCTCCAACACCTCGGGGGTCATCTTCTCCAGGACAGGATAGTCGATATAGCGCACACATTTGCCAATAGTTTCCATGGTGTGGTGTGATTTGGCGGCCTCCGCACGAAGCGTATCCACAGCCTCCTGGGCCTCGTTGTCCGCCCCCAATCGGGTGGATACGTAGGAGAGTTTTGTGTTCTCCAACTCGCCAGTGGCGCGTAGCAGGCAGGGAATCAGGGTGACCAAATGCGGAGCGATGAGCGCACCCGAAGAGTCAATCATGTCGGAGATGGTCTTGATGCTCACTTTGCGTATCTCGGCTACCTTGTGACCCACGCCGGTTTCCAGAAGATAAGGCAGGGTGGAGGATGCCACTGCTGTGCCTGATTTTCCATGATCCGAGGAGGAGGCGATGACGCACAGCTTGCCGAGGAATGAGGCGGTGCCGTGGGCTGTGACCCTTGTGCCTTCATGAATGTCGTCCATTACGCGGAAGAGCTGGATCCAAAGCTCTTTCAGCTCTGGCTCTGGCACCTCGTCCACCTCCATGCTGTTGGGTGCGGCGGCCCGACGACCAAGCTCTTCGGAGCGCAACTTTAGCCCGTTCGGACGCTTTAAGAGATCCCTAATTGCCAGGCAGCAAGCAATTCGCACTCGCCACTCCTTGAACGTAAGATTGTCCAGCAACTCACGCATGATTTCCCAGTAGTAACGCTCAGTAACCTCTTTCGAGTCGCTCACAATGGTTTCCCAAATCGAGATCATCGAGTTCTGGATCTTGGGAGTGGGATCGTACTTATAGCGATACAGCCGGGGAATTATCTTACCGAGATAAGGCTGCATCTTCTGCTTGGACTCAGCGGAAAGTGTTTTCAATCCGAAGGCAGCTCCCAACTTGCTGGTCCAGGTGGCATTATGATTGGCCAGTTGCATGAATTGGTAGATCATGTCGGGCTGATTGAGATCCGAAGCCAGGGAGCACAGCTCCTTGTAAGTAGTGATGTTGCCTCCCGTGGGCGTCTTGCCCAGCATTCCTTCGGCAAAGAGTTCAGTGTCTGCGGCGACCTGATTCACCTTGCGTTTCCCTCCAATGAGCTGATCCAAAAGTGAGTTGGCCAAATCACTTTGACTGCTAGAATCGGATAGCGAGTATACCAATCCCAAGCCGCGCGAAGCTACATCCTGCACAAATTCTGAAACAAAACAGAAACATATTAATTTGCTAAATATATTGATGTTATAAAACGTACCACTATCATCCGAAAGGAGCTCGGTAAAAGCAAATTGCAAAAGCTCTTTTTTGGCCAACACGGCTGGACGATGGCTGCAGTGCTTCACCACGGCTAGAAGCCACACGGATATCGCCTGACGGGAATGCTTGTTCGGCTCAGTCACCAGGCGTATTAGCGAGTTCAGGAACTGCTCAAAGTCGCTATCATTGCAGTGTGGATTTACAAACTTCTCATCCGGTTGCCCCTTGTTCACATCATAGCCACAGAGTGTGTTAACAATCGCTTCCGAGATGGCTATGTTCAAAGCTGCATCCTTTTGCACCTTGGCCAGGGTAAGAAACTTATCCAGGTTGCGTTTGGTAAAGTGCTCGCCATCGCCAATAGCCAAGTATCCCAGGCATCTGGCCGCTTCTTCTCGAATCTTCTGGCGCGCTGAGGAGCTGCGCAGCAATTGAAAGACAACGCCAAAAATAACCAACTTGGTGGAGGAATCTATGCTCGTATACTCGGTCATCTCCTCGTCGTCGTCCCCATCGTTGGTTGGGACTTGGATCTCCACCGTAACGTTTGGTATCTGAACAGCCTTGCCGATCATAGAGATACATTTTACGGCTGCCGATACGAGCAGCCATTGGGATTCACACAGGGTTTTTGCTAGGTAGAAAAAATAATTTTAAATAATCAAACCTGATAAATAAACAAGGTTCAAACTTACATATAATCTTCACCGCATTAACAAACTGCGGCCAAGAGGCATAGTCCTTTGTTTTCTTCTCTTGCTTGAGCATAGCAATCTTGCGATTGAAAGTGTGGCCCACCACCAGAAGCCAGCCGTGCTTATGCTCCAATGTCTTTTGTGTAAGGCTGCTCAAGCATTCACCCACTTCCTCATCGAACTTATCGTCGGACAGACCGAAAGCCCAAAGAATAGCATATACTTGAGCCACATTTATGCGCATAGTCTCGGAGACATCCTTTAACGTGTTGCCAAGAGGCTCCAACAGATGCAGCTGCTTGGCAGCAAACAGTTCCGGAGCGGCGTTCAACAGGTCATACAGACAGGTAAGATTGGAGTCGCCTAAAAAATAAAAAATCTTTAATTGATTTTATATCATAGAAGTTGCAAACCTACTTCTCTTAGCCTCCACACTCCGCTGAACAAACTGCGCATACTGATGCAAAGCATTGTTCTCCTCATCTTCGTAATGCGTGGTGATATACTTGCGTAGCTCCTGGGTGTACTTCTCATCGCCGGGAGCTGACACCACGCCAGCCGAATACCACAAGCACAATCGCAGATAATCCAGTAGCTCCTCGTACACCTCCAGGCTGTATGGCAGCTTGGTGCGCCCAACCACAACACAGGCATTGCTTTTTTTAAGTCGCTTGTTGGCCATCTCATGGACGTGTGCCATCATCACCTGGAAGCTGGGCAGCACCACTCGACGCTGCTCCAGTGATAGGTGATTGAAGTCACTAATGGATTCGCTGTTTGTGCGGTTTTCAGCCTGCTCGATGGAGGAGAGCATATTGTAGTTTACGTGATCCTTCTTCGAGGTACCATACAAATAGGTGGTTACGTTCTCGCGCAGGGAATTACTTTGGTAAACAAAAAATATTATATATAAATAAGCAAAGAATTGGTTTCAGATTAAACTCACCGCTCTCCTGCGATAAGCAGCAACAAATATCTGGCTGGTGCATAATACTCCGGATAACAGCTGGTGAGGAAAACACTGGTCACATTCTGTACGATCTGCACCTTCGACTCTGCATTATCCAGCAGCATGGCCAAAAGAAGATGCTGCTGGCCATCCAACTTTACGGTGGAGGGATCTGTATCGTCATCCACCTCCATTGCATCGCTCTTCTCCTTTGTCTTCCAGGCAAATGCCGGAGCCATCGAAACTAACGCCTCCCTAATGGTGGAATGTAGTTCCGGTGCACAGCTGGCCAGGTTGTTAAAGTAGCCTAGGACCAGCTTCAGATCCTGGCTCACGTCCTGCGGGAAACTGCGAGCATGCTGCGCCAAAGCAGAGTAAGCTGCATTCTGGACATCATTCGGTTCGGTGGAGTCGCGTCCAATGACTTTGGTGATGCCGGTAAGTATTACCCTGGATACCTTGGAGACCAATTCCCGAGGACCACTAAGAAAAGATAAGTTTGATTAGTTTTACTAGTTTGGTATGTCAATTAAAACCAACTTACTCCCTGAGGACCAGTTCGACGAACTGCAGTGCCAAGACTTTGCACTTTTGGTTGGTGTTTGTCCCGAACAGGCCATCAAAGATCACCTGCAGGCCTTTGGTCACGTTAATGCTCTTGCCGCGACACTTGATGAGGTACTGCAGCAGCTTCTGGCGTACTCGTGCGCAGCAGGGACGTGTCTGGCGATCCGTCAACTTATTCTGGTTACCAGCGAAAAGAGTGTACAAGGGAGCGGTCACAGCTGGGCTACTGAAATCCAGCATGGTACACAGCTTGCTGAGCTCGGCGATCGCTGGAGTCGCTACGCTGAAGCGTGTGTCCGCCGAAGCCACCACAAGGGGCACGAAGATCTGCACATCACTGAAAACACTGGCGCACAAGAAGCGAACTATGCCCTTCTTGACTTTCTCTAGCTCCTCCGCCCGCCAGTTGTTCGCTATGATACGCTTAAAACTATAGGGACTGAGTCCCGGAGGAACATCCTGATCCTGGGTGATGCCGTAGGGCAGGAGAAGCACATCCTGGAGCAGAGACAGCAAGTTAGCACTGATGGCCGGCTTGTCCTGCAGATTCAGAAGCTTAGACCGCTGGGCCGGATCGTCGGGGATCTTAATTTCCGACAGTATGGGCAGCAGCAGGGCGAACAGCTTGTCCTGGTAGCTTTCTAGCTTATCCTCGCTGCCCACCACTTTGCTGGCCAGTCCAGCCTGTTCCTCAAGCGGTAGACGCGGAAAGCCCATGGCTATGAATATAATGGCGAAGTTCTTGAGGAAGGTGGTGCTGTCCTCGGCTGCATACTGATCCAGCAGTGCCTCTACGGGTATCTGCACTTGTCCCCGCGACGAGAGGCGCCTCTTGATGTGGGTAAGCACTTCGACTACCTAAGCAGAAAGTGCATTAGTCAGCCGGCCAATTTTGCAGAGTCACGGTGCGAGAAGGGGGTAGGAAACCCCCAGCTGGCATTGTTAGAACCGTCTACTTGCCTTGGTGCGCACCGCATTGTGGGGCGAGTTCATTTTGAGAATCACCGGGGCCAGGAACTTGCCTACTGTGGCCCCCAGCTTTTCATCCGAGTCCGCATTTCCCAGACGCAACAGGACGCGCTCCAGAAGCTCTACAATCGGTGGAATATGATTGCTGTTTAGATAATCTTTTCTACAAAAACATCCACTCTTTTTCTAGGTCCTCTGATCACAAATCGGGCAACCAAGTCTTTATTTACAGTGCAAATTATAATTTTTACCAATTTCTGCATTTGGTCCAGTTTCCATTTTTTATTGTTGTTGCTCCTTTATAGTGTTACCAGTTGATGTGCGGCAAATTGCACCGAAGTTTTTCGAAAAGCTACATATTTAAAAGCTTTACAACACTTAATTATGATTTGAATAAGCCCGCCAAAATTTAAAGAATTTTGTTTAATTTGATGTTGCGAACGCAATTTTTTTCCTTAGTAAAATTTAAGCCCGGTGACCCATTTTTATACAACAAAAACTTTAAAATTCAATTTCAAGTAATTTTTATTCAGAGAAATAATGTTAAAATATTTTCAATTATTTGTAAACAAGATCCTTGAGGAGTTATCATCTTGAAATCTGTAAAAAGAATGAAATACTTGCATTAGTAGGGAATTAATAGCCTCATCTTAATAAACATTTCATTTGATAAATTTCAGTATTCTCACTTTTTGTGAGAAGAGTCAAGGTTCTTCAGCAATTTGTTTTATGAAGACCGTCATGATTTTATCATCAGAATGCCAATTTTAAATATGTTAAACAAAATAAAAAGTAATACACACCTTTTAGTGGAATATAAGCTGCAACTCCTGAAATGCTGTGGAAACTAAGAGAAAACTGTGGAAAACAAATGGTTAAAGTTACTTTTTTCTGTTTTATTCCAAAAGAATAAGTGCTACAAATATTAACGCCCGAATGGTGGTTGTCCGCTCTAGTACTTCTTGAAGCTCTTCTTGGATCCCTGACCCTTGCTGACCTTCAGGACATTGAAGCGCACAGTCTTGGACAGAGGACGGCACTCACCAATGGTGACAATATCGCCGTGCTCAACATCTCTGCAAGTAAAGATTTAAAATGAATTAGAATGATGTCTAAAAAAATAAATTCAGATAGTTTAGGCTTAATTTCAGTATTTTTACATTTAGTAAAAAGAGTCAAGTTCTTTCAGCAATTTGTTTTATGAAGACCGTCATGATTTTATCATCAGAGAAAGGGTAGTACGCCTCGTTTTAACATTTTTATTATTAAATATTTTAGATGAATATGAGAAAACGGGCCTAAGTGGAGTTTGGATTAGATTTGTGTTTTTACCTGAAAACGGGCGAGCAGTGGACGCTCATGTTGCGGTGACGCTTCTCGAATCGACTGTATTTGCGCACAAAGTGCAGGTAGTCGCGCCTGATAACGATGGTGCGCTGCATCTTGGCCTTGCGAACGACGCCGGTTAGGATGCGTCCACGGATCCTCACATCACCGGTCCAGGGGCACTTCTTGTCGATGTAGGTACCATCGATGGCCTGAGGATGGTGTATGGAAACTTATTAGCTGGGGAATTCTAGGTTTTTCAAGGGGGAATCATCTTTGTTGGCATCACCTCACGGGGGGTCTTGAAACCGAGTCCCACATCGCGGGAGCGACGCAGCAGCTTCTTCTTGGTGACGCCGGGCTTAACCTTGCGGTTTAGGTTGACACCGAATTGTTTTTGGAAAGCGCGCTCGTTCTGGTTAGTTCGGGATCATGTGGAGAACAGGGTGTGCGGGGTGTCGGTTCGTTTTTGGCAGGCAGGCGGGAACATTCAGCGTGCGTGGGAATGAAACGGAAACAAACGGAGGGGGCGCAACATTAGTCGTGGTTTGCTCGGGTTCCTCTTACCTCCGCCGGAGCCCGGAAGCCCAGGCCGATTTGGCGGTAGAAACGAGGACGCTTCTTCAAAGTGGCGCTCTTGCGACGCACAACGACCACCGCGTGTTGTTTGCGGAACGAGCGTTCGGTTTGCTGGAATATACATTTCGTGTTCACTATTGGCGACACCATGCGCTAAAGTAGGGTTAGGGCGAAGCTGCTCCAAACTGTGGCCCGAGCAGGCGATTCATGGCTCCTCCAGTGATTTGTTCACCCACATCTCACTTACACCGCCTCTGGCATCTTGTTTCGGGACTCCATCCGCCGTTTAACATGCGTATTTCATTTATTTAGCTCACTCTCTGGGAATCTTACCTGATCAGCCATGTTGATGAAAAAGGAAAGAAGGTTGGCTAGAGCTGGCACCAAAATCGCTGTTTATGCGATACTATCGTGTGGAAGGCTGCCAGATCGCGAATATCGCCAGTCCGGCAGCGCTCATGTAGTGTTGCCTGATCAAATCATGACGTAAATGCTACCAGAAATTATAATTTTTACTTGAATGTATCTAAAATATTGTTAATGAATGAACGATTTTAAAGTTATTTAGGAGATTGAAAACAAAAAAACACTTTATATTATACATCTTAATCCTGCCGAGATTATTTTGGATAACTATAAAGTCCCATTTAGGATTCCATGACATTAGGATTACCAGGCAATTTAATTCAAATAAAAAGAAATATATTTCAAAAAACTATTTAGCTTTTAGGGAATTCATTTAAGTTTTGATTGTGTAAAAATTTTTTTAATTCTTTTAAGTATAAGCTTTGCAGCCCTGACTGTCAGTCCAGACTTAAACCACGGAGGAGAACTATGATAGAATGCAACAGATGCTTTGCCAGATGGCGCCAGCGTGCCAATGCAGGGGCGTTAACTTTTTGAATAATTTATTTGACGCTCTCAAATTTGCATATCTGCTGATACAGATGGTTTGTCGCTGCTATTGACCTTCATCTTTGCTGGCATTGACTAGGAATTTCAGCCAAAGCCAAGCAATGTTTTTCTCAAGCACCACTCAAGAAGTGCTCCATGCCAAAAAAATGCCTTTGTGCCTGCATTTTGTAGTTTTTCCTTTTAGTGGCACACAAATTCGCGGCATTTAAGGCAAATGCCTCTTGCGCTAATTCTGCACATGCCCTAAGAATATGTCGGATTAAAAATAATGACAACATAAACGAGTGCCAGGAGAGCGTCCTTGAAATGCCGCCCACTTTCAAGGCAGGATCTGCAGCTGCGGCCGCCGTTACAACTGCTATAAATCCGTTTACGGCTAAACGTCACGGATGGAGGAGGCTGCTTTCGCTGGGCTCTGCCTGCATTTCATTGCCATTGTTAATGCAGATGTCTGCAGCATAAAATTGCGGCAAACGTTGCTGCAGCAGCTGCTGCTACTGCTACTGCTACTGCTGCTGCTGATGACCTTAACCTGCAAAAAGGGGTTGTGGGTGGCTGAGGGGGCGGACTGGTTGCACTAGGCGTGGCATGCGTGTGAAGCTGGCGAAGGTTTTCCCAGTCGGCCTTTCGCCACGCTCGGCAATTTCACCTTGCCGAGCTCAGTGACGGCAATGAAATCCCTTTACTGTCCCTTAGAAGCCACCACGCCCCTCCCCCTGCCCCCCCTTTCAAGGCCATCACCCTCCTTTGGAAATTCCTCAGGTAACTGAAACTGGAGCTGGTTACTGCGCCTTATGCGCCCAGTAGGTACATCATTCCGCATTATCGATTAAATAAGCCCCGGGACATCATAAACAGCAGTAACAAAGTTTACAACTTATTCGCTTTTGTTTCCCTCGGTTATTATTATGATTTTCATGCTCATTGCCATTACGGCTCTGGTCTTATTGTTGTTTGCCCTGGCAAATGAAAAAACTTTTACGAACTGCCAAAGTTCGTTCGGTAAACAGTTTAAATTCGATGCTGGCAAACATGTTGCAAAGTCGAGACTCAATAACTCTTACTATTCCAAAAAATATATGTTGTGTTTAAATGACAAGTCGAGAAATAAAAGTAGCTTATATTACTTAAGTAATAAAATAGGGTTTGGTCACCCCCAATTATTTATACTAAGCCTTGTATACAAATTAGTCAATTGAAACTTGGGTTCTCTTTTAATCTTTTCCCTAATTTTTTAATCCATTTTCATCATCCTTTATTTTATTTTAAATATTTTGACTATTTTTGTGTTCTATTTTTTTAAAACAATTTCTTTTAACAAGATGAAAATATGGATGCAAATGTTTATAACCAGATAATTTAAGGAAGGTTTTGCACTCAATGTTACTTTGGTACTATGCTTAACCTAGTTCTCATAGCTAAATTTATTAATTTGTAGTCCCCACATCCCCAAGACCTTTTCTTAAGGGCTAAAAAAGTTAAAGTCAGCCCTTAAATCTACAATAAACCATAGAAAAGTGTAGCTATGGTAGGTCGACTGTAAAACAACTCTAAGCTCTTTAAAGTCAGCGCCAAACTTTTCGTTGTTGCCCTCAAATTAAGAAAATAATTTCCATGCTGACGGGGAGGAACAAAGAGCGCAAAGATAACGGCATCAAGTGCGCAGCTTAACGGTACATTAGGTAAACAGTGTTGTCAACTTGTCCAGCCGGGGTGTTGGGGGATGGGGTGTGCTTTAGTATGGGTTCTACAACACTGTATACATACACTTAAAACTCGAAAGTGGGTCGGAAAAGCGGGGTAGCGGAGTCACGAGACGGAACCATTGACCCCATGAATGGGAAAAGCTTCGGGGAGGTCTGAACTCTGAACTAGCGGCAGGGAACAAAGCGGATCTGTGGTGAAAGCGGTGGACCAGGAATTCCAATGCACAGAAAAAATCGTATCATTTACAATGGAAATAAAATATTTACTTATTATCTTTGAGTTTCGAAGGAAGTATCTCAATATAATATCAATAAAATGTTAAATTTTTTTTTATTTAAGCATTATAATATTTGTACCTACTTTCATAAATGCCATTTATTTTTTTCAGTACACAAGGTTAACTATTGTTTTAGTTTGGAATTATAATGATTGTAATTGTACCTACTAACATAAAAGTATTCGATTAGAATTATAATAATTATTACTGTTATAAAAGCAAAAACCACTAGGTAGGTATTTATTTTTTCCAGTGCACAAGCTTTCTTCCTCAAACCCTTAACCCCTAAAAAAGGAAGTTGGTGTGTTGGGGGTGGTGTTCAGAACGTGTATTTGAAAAGTGACCGAGATAATTTTTGGCATGCTTTGTTTGGTTTTACTTTCGCCAGCGGTTCGCCTCCACCTCCCAGGCCATGCAACTTTGATGAGCAGCATCTGGGTTGCGGTTGAGCCCAGGGGCTTGGGTCTGGTGGCACCCCCTAAAAAACCCTAAGCCCCCCAGCCTCACAGCCCCCAAGTCCCCTTGTTTTGAGATCACCCCCCACCCCCTGCTCGGTGGGTTGTTTAACAAGTAAATTTATGCGTTGCGCGTGGGGAGATTGGTCTGGTGGGCTGGTAAACCCACCCTAACTCCCTCTATATTTCTGTATCTCTGGCTCCTCGTAAAAAGCAAATGCAAAGAAATTATTATGAGGCCGTATTTTTTGGGGATTTCTGGGGGGGCGCTCATCGCAGGGCGTGGCGTTGCCTTGGCTACCTGCACACTACCCTCAGAAAAAAGGGTTGCAGGCTGTAATTATGTTAATTTTCCGAATACGTATACGTAACATTCCCCAAATATTTGCAAATAAATTCCAGAGGCTTGGGTCGCCAGCAAATCCAACCCCCAGTTGATGAAAATGTTTGCTATCAGCGTGTTGCCAGGACTGCCAGGACCCGATATCCGACATTTATTGTTGGGGCCTGGTACAAAGTTAAGTGACAGATTGGGGCGGAAATTAGCTAGAAGAAATGTAAAGTCAATTTCCGCTTTTGTCAATTATACAAAAAACTTTATTGGCATAATATTATTGGAATCAACGCTAATACCCCCCCAAAAAGGATATAAACAAAACGGGTCCGTTTTACCCTCGCTCTTTTTATCCCTTCAAATCAGAATTCTGGTTAATTAAGGAAAAACAAGAGTATAACGCTACTTGACTGCCTAATCGGAAGCAGTGGCGTCTACATGGAAACCTCCCAAATCGCCCGGCAAACAACTCTAATGAAGCCTGCCCAGGATTCGGAATACCTTACCCTGCCTCCCTGGTCCCAATTTTTCCTCTCCGGCCGACTAATTGAAAAACTTTGGTACTCCCCGAACACGTGCCACCCACTGAGGCACTGCATCACGCCCCTTTCTGTGCCGTTTTGTCTGTTTTATAGCCACTGCTCGTTGCCGGGCGCCTGCCTCCTTATCGCCCCAGGACCTCCGACCCCTGCTCCCTTAGGGATCCGCACAAAAGGCCGTAAAAACGCCGCCTTCGTCCCCTCCCCCCTGACGTCCGCAATTAAAGAGCAACAACAATGCCAGGCGCGGCAATAAAAGGACCTGCATGAAAAGTTAAATTCCACCCTGGCTGTTTAAGCTACACATTTCGGAGAGCAGTTTCTCGTTAATAAAATTTTCGTATGAATGCGATTACGAAATATGGTTGACAATATTTGTTGGGTAAATGTGAAAGGTTATTTAGTTGGTAATGATACTTGTGCTTGATTGATGTACGTACATTTTTAATAATATTAAAAAAATAAGTCCTAAGATGATGGATTTTAACTATATATTATGGTTTCTATAAAACCTTACAAGCATGGATGTCTTAAAATATAAATTAATTTATTTTGGTTTACTAACAGCTAAAGGGAATTTTAAGAATTTGGTACTTTTCCGATGAAATTACTCATACGACATGTATTCCAAACAAAATTTTATAAAATTTATGACATTTTAATATAAGTCTTGCTTAAAGCGATTTTACCCTAAGTTTCATAGCCTTTAACTTTAATTTTTAAAGATAATTCTTTGAAAGTTTTCAAAACTGTCAAAAAAATTACACATACGACATGTAAGCCACGTCATTTTCGCCGACATATTCACTTAATTTTCTGTTTTATATTTATCATATTTTGAAAATGAATTTATTTTATGAATTATTAATTCATAGCGCATCAAATACTCGACTTGCAGTCCCCTGAAACTTTCCATCAACGTTTATATTTTGGCCGAA